ATTCTCGCTCTTATGTATCCCGAGATGCAATGGAGAACTCAAATTCACGTAGTTTTACCTAAAAATTTTGAAGTTGGTTGATTAGAATTAAATTTAATAAAAGAAAGTTTAATTTGAGATCAAAATTATTTTCATAAGATTATAATATTTAGGATAAAAGATAAAGCGGTTATACATGTATCCTACAAGAAATAACACAAAAGGTGAAGGAAAATCATACAACTATATTGTAAATCATTAAAAAAATATTTTTATTTGTAAATGAAATATTTGAATTTTATATTTAAATTATGATTCACGTTGAAAGAAAATTTAAGATAGCGTAAGATATACATAAATATCTTACAATTTATTGGACAATCGAAAACAATGTAAACCATATATCGATGTTGCAAAAATTTGTATAATAAAATAAATAAATAATTGGTTATTTAATTTATCAAAGTTATAAATATGACTTAAGAAAATTTAAAATATAAAATTAATTCAATTTAATGAAATAAATAAATATACTTGAATTGATTAAAGAAAATATTTATTTAATAAAAGGATTAAAACTTCATTTGATAAATTTATATTGCATAGGACTTAAGGTAACATTGGTATACAAAAAAGTCTCAATGATTTATAATGTATAAAAGTAGAGACACTTCACAATAACACTATAAATCATTACATTAATATGATGAAAATGTTTTAATTTAATTAAATAAATAAATTATTTTTTTTACAGTAGAAAATAGAGAAATTTTTTTAATTAGATGATTCATTTTAGTTAAATAAAAATAATCATGGAATTGATTAATTTTAGAAGTTAGATTTAATTTTTATATAATTTGATGGTGTAAAAAACCTAAGATAACGTTGGTACACGTAGGTTTTGACAATTTATAACGCATAAAAGTAGAATTGCTACACTTAGCATTATGAATTATTGCATTAATAAAATAATTTTGATGTAAATTAATTGATTAATAAAATAGTAATTATAGGAAAATACATATTAATTTATTATTATGATAATAATCTAATTAATTAAAAATAACATATAATATATTAAAATTAAATAAAGTCTAGGTAATGTCGATACACATAGATTTCATCAATTTATAACACATGACAGTAGAGAAACTACACGTTAATGTTATAAATCAATGCAAATATTTATTATTTATTCATTTATCATAAAATGAATTTAAAGTGTAATTTATATCTATAAAACAATAAAAATGAAAATATAAATATAAAATTAAATTACATTCTAAATTTGCACAAAATAGTAAAAGGGAATAATGCTAAAAAATAAAGCCAAAAATAAATAAATGAAATTGATACAAGCAAAAAATCTAAGAATTATTGTGTAAAGTTTATAGATACGAATAAAGTTTTAGAATTATTCTCTTTTACTCTACTTATTTTTCATTATTTTTAGTGAGAAAGAGATAAATTTTATAACTAAAAATAAAAGTCAGATATAATAAAAATAAATATTAATGATGTATTTTGCTAAAAAATAGTTAAGAATAGATAAATAAATAAGTAGATAAAAAAAATTAAATAATAAAAATGAAGTTTAACTCTAAAAAAAAGAAACTTTTTTTAACTTTAAAATTATCATATTTTGCTTGATCTGTAAATGAGCTACGTAAGCTCGAAGGTTTTAAAAAAATAAAATAAAAATAATAAATAAATAATAATGATTAAAAAAATAGAAATAATAAATAAATAATAATAATTAAAAAAATGGAATTCCTAAATTGTGAAGGCAAGAATGCTACTAAAATTACGCTGATTTACTATTTAATCACGTAGCATTCTCATTTCATATGTATAATAGTAAAAGTATTAATATATTATACATATGAAAATGAAAAAGCTGAAACATTGATTTAAGATCTTTGGCACTTCATTTTTATCAAATCATTTAGATCTTTTCTTTCTTTTATTTTAATAATAAAATAACACATTAAAAGATAAATAAATAAGAAATTAAAAAAAACTTAGTTAACTAAATACTCTCTACTTTACATTACTTGTTTAACAGAATTCAAAACATAGTGCAGAGCAATATCTATACCTTAAAAAGTTAAGGAACATTTCATATTTGAGGGATAATAAAGGATGATGGGTCTCTACTCTTTTCTTTTCTTTTGGTATTTTTTTTATATTCTAGTTCTTCATTTTTTTTTGCTTAATTCTCTTTTTTTTTTCTCAGTTTTTCTTTAAAAAATGCTTTTTTGATTTTTTGTCTCCCTCTCAAAACTTGTTCTCTCCTCTTCAAAATTTTTATTAGCTTCCTTTCTCAAAAAAAAAAAAAAAAACTCTTCTTTTGAATTTCTTACTTGAGTTTTTATATCCGTCTTCAATCTCACATTTTAAAGTTTCATAAAATATTAAATGTTTGAGTTTTTTATTTATTTATAAAATCAATTTTAAAATTGGAGTATAAGTCTGCCTATTACAGGGCTTCTATTTTAAGGAACTAGTCTCTCTCTTCTTTTTTTGTTTTAAATTTTTTTTCCATTTTATGTAAAATAATTTTATTTTATATATATATATATATATATATATATATATAATTTTATTTTTTTAATTTGGAGGCAATTCCCTGGATGGAAAAAATTGTTTTCACACTCTACTATCCAAGTACCATTCAGGATCCCTGGTTGAATGGGTGATGCTAAGAAGGCGTTATGTTTTTCTTACTTTTCATAAAAAGGTTAGCCTATATATGATTTCACAAACCTATAAAAACAATGAATGATAATGTGACCAGCCATATACTTGACGTATTTATTCTATCTTCAGACATCCTTGTCTTTTACTACCTCTTAAACTTTTATGATAGTTTCCTTTTCAGCTTTCACAGAGGGAATTAATTTTCTTTGTGATATGTCCTGATATGCTAGGTTTGAGAAGTTATTTAGTTGTTCAAGTAAGTTTTCAAATACTAGAAGTTGTGCCTATTAATCAACCAAAGTCAAATTATTTTTAATGGATAATTGCACCACTATGGAATTGTAGTCAACATCCAAGCTTGCAACAGTTTGAATGATCATATCAGTAGTAGAAATTGGACTTCCAGCAAGTTGAGATTGTCAACTAGTGATTTCATTTTAATATAGTATTCCTCCATTTTGATTAACATTTTCGTCATGTTGTGAGACTCATTTTTGAGTAATGTAACTCGAGATTTTGTGGGAGGCCCAATTAGACTTTAAGCATCTTCTCAAAGTTCTTTAGATGTGTCATAGTGTAGGAGTCGAGTAGCAACATCTTCTATCATGAAATTAAATAACTAACCTAATAGTTGTTAATCATTAGTTATCCATTATTCAAAGCCAAAATTTGATGTTTTATTTCCTCCTTCAATGATAAACTGCAAATGACAATCCTTTGTTCCTAAAGATATAACCATAAAGCTTGCTTTCTTTGATTAAAGAAAGCATGGAGTATTTTCATAGTAGATAGTTATTTCTATTCAACTTAACATAACAAAGGAGGTGAGGATATTTTTGGTAACAAATTATTGCTTTCAGAGCTTAACTCTTTGATGCCAAGTTAGAAAAAAATTAACAAAGAGAGTGAGAGAAAGATGACTGAAGAGATATTTTTTCATTGAATATGAGACTTAGATATACATACAGATTCTTATAAATGTATAGCAATTAATTATAGCTATGCTACTAAATTACTATAATTATATAGCAATTAATCGTATAAAATTTACTATAATAATACAACAAATCTATTATAATACTAAATTAAATTATGCTCTTTAATATTAGGATGTTGAGGTCATCAAATTTGTTATTCTTTAACTATTTATACCGCAATAATATTTAATCTGAATGTAAGTGCTATCAATGTGCCAAACAAAAATAATTAGGTGATGTGGTGGACAAACTTCTTAAGAGTGACAAGTTGATTATGTAGAATTGATCACAAATGATTGTAGTTTGTATAAATAACAAAATTTATGTTAAAATTAGTATAAAGGAAACTTAGAGATGTTTTGACCCAAAAAAAGAGAAATAAAGTTAAATGAAGCAGTTAGTTTGAGTTAAAATAATAAAATAAATAAAAGTTAAATGAAACAGTTGAGTTAAATTAAGAGACTAGAATTACGATAATAAATTTTTTTATATATCTAGGTCATAATTCTAAATTACTTATTAGATAAGTAAGTTATTCAAGTTTGTAGCTCAATAAATTATTTTTACTATTAAATTATAGACTTACGTTCAAAATCTTAAAATGGTACGAGAATTCAAATCCAATACAAACTTAATTACTCTCTTATTTAAGGTATTTTAGATAAGTAAGTTAGTTAAACTTGTAGTCTAATTACTAAATCTCATTATTAAATTGTTGAGTCTACTTCTAAAATCTTAATATGATATCAGAGTTCAGATAAAAAAATTGAAAGACTGATAAATAAAATAAAATAAAATAACTAAAATAGAGACCTAAATTTAAGGCATAAGTAGAAGTCCAATTACTCGGTAAAACTTAAATTTAAAGTAGAAGTCCAATTACTCTCTTGAATTACTAAGCTCACTTTCAAAATCTTAACATTTATATCATGCATTTTTAATAGCAGGTGAGTTTTAAATAGCACAAATTGTGTGAACACGAGATTACCCTCCTAGTAAGAAAAACTAAATGATTTTGATATCAAATTGGACCATTTTGTTCCATCTCTCCGTGTCTCTGTAGCTATCTTTTTATACCTATTTATTTATAATTAAATTTCATGCATAATATGCATGCAATTATAATATAAGTAATATTTTATCATTATTCATAATTTATTAATGATAATATTTATAAATAGATTATTTTAACTTACTTAAAAATTACATATATTGATATATATATATATATATATATATATATATATATATATATATATATATATATATATATATTCGTTGTTCTTTTCGAATTAGTTGCGAGTGGTTTGCCTACTTACCCTGCATTATTAATATTTATTTATATGACAGCAACTTCAAGATCTTTATATAAACACAGCCACTTCACTTAATAACAATTATACAAGTGATCCACCTAAAGGAAAAAAACAATATAAGTGCTTAATTCGCAGCACAAGAATCTGTCCACCCGCTAGCTGGCATGAGACATTAACACTAGCAGTGACATAAATCTCAACTAATTGCTACATATTTACAGTATTCATTTCCCTCACATTTAATTGGGTTGAACACCGACACGATATGCTGTCTTGAAGAGAATCTAAACAAGCTCAAGAAACTGATCACATACCTTGAGACAAGAATATGATGTTCTATATTGCTGCAATTTTTGGCAGCTATGTATTATATAGCAAGAGAGATGAGTAACCAATTTCAAAGTTGAACGACTACTTAACCATGGGAGTTGGCTAGCTGATTGATCAAAGCCAAAGCATTGCTAGTCAATTGGGCTACTACCACAATTCGCCCTCTCACTGTGGTCTTAACATCTGCACTATCAGCAGAAGTAGCAATAGCACTCTCTTGGAAGCCATCGGTGCAAGTGCTCTCATCTGTCAAAGCAGCACTAACCCATGTTTGTACATCACTCATTATTAGCTCAAAATTAGAGGGCCCAAGACGGCCCATTTCACCAATAGATCTTCGGAGTTCATCCACTGAATCACTCAGCTCCTCCACGCAGTCCTTCATAGCTGCAACCTCTCTTGGCTTCAACCCACGACTCTTTGCCAGCGCTGATATCATTGCAGAGGTCATTTTGGCAGATGCAAGAGTCACATTCAGGGCTGTGCCAGTTAAAAGCACACGATTCGTTTGGATCAAGTCTGCATGCTTCACCAGGGAGCTATAGCAGAGTCTTGGATAAGTTGTGGAATTACAAGATGTTCTAATGAACACAGTGCTGGCTTCTTGGTATGGGGTTTCAGTGCCATTGGCATTGTTAGCAGAGTGTGCGGTGAAACTAGAGGCAAGAATTAAGAGAAGGGATGTGATAAGGTGCTTAGAAGAAATCGCCTCCATTTTTTTTTAATCTCAATTAGGATTTGGTTGAGTGAGGATAAATGGGAAGGAAGGTACGAAACCTATATATAGGACTCAAAATTCTATCTTGTGCAATATTACTTTTAGCCTTCACATATCATAAAATGAAGTAACAGTTAGGAAGAAGATATTTTAGAGAAAAATAATTATATTAAAAACGTGGCCTTCTAAGAAATCCGGTTTTTATGAAGAAGTCGTCATTGGTGAAGGACATGATTTATGTATCATGAAATAAGCACGCTCCAATAATTGGGACCGGTGGGGTTTGGACTTAAAAGTTAGAACAACGAATATCATGTGAGTAGGGTCTATTTCTGAGCCCAAATGAGTGTAACACCACATATTCAAGTGGAGCGTATGATTCTTTTATTTGTAAGATTGGTGTGCCCCCACTTGGATGCAGTTCATCCATGGAGTCCCGATAGGTCCAGTATAAACAGGTAAGTTTCAAATTCGACATAAAATCACTCCGTACATAAAATAGACCAAGTTAATTATGGCTGCACCCGTCTCCTTCTTATAGACCTCTCTTCTCTGAGGTTGTAAGCACATGTTCTAACGTGGGGACACTCGGTTAGTGATAATTATCGACCTTCTGGTCATTATCATCAATATTTGCTGTTGCTTAATATATTACCTTCGGTTGATTATTTGTTTATATATGTACGTACATAAGCTCTTACAGTAATTTCTCTCTTCGTATTAACTCACTAGCAGAACTATAATAACGACAATTAATCATTGCATGGGAAAGATTCGAGAACTGCACAAGATATTTTTTGCAGATACGATGAGACTGAAATTATCTTGTACATAATTGATGTGGCCTACATCACTTTGCTTCTCACCATTTTTTAACGTCACATTTATAATTAGTACGGTCCCATATGCTAGAATGCCAACTTGCTGTTCAATTTGAGAAAGAAAGAAACAAAGATGACCTTAAGATGATAAGGTCCAATTATTTTGCTTGGATTAAGTAGGATATCTATTCTCGTTAGCCTCATCTAGACACACATAATCGAGAGACAGGAGTAGTTCAAAGATTCACGTGCCTTTGAGTTTTTTAATTTCTTTATTCTAAGGATATGTATCAAAGGAAAAAACCGAAGTGAAGCATCATGGATATTATGTGCTATTTTTTAATTAAAATTAAATTTTTGTAATAATGATCTTTATTACAAAAGTTATTAAAAATAAAATTAAAAAATAATACCAAAAAGAATTGTATCAAATATGAAGGGTATCTTCTCCCGTCCCCCCTTGTCTCCGTTTCAGGCACCCGCCACTGTCAAGTTGGCAATATGCATTTGTGCCATATCAACATCATCAATTTTGTTAGAACGTACGACGAACATGAACATTTTCAGTAGTTTCTTTTTCTTTTCTTTTGTCTTTTTTTGGCTGCTCGAGTGTCGAGTGAGGACCCCAAAGCTGAAATTGAGTACGGCAGAAAGCATCATCCTGCGAAGGAAGACCACGGTCAGCTGAAATTGATGAGGGAGTTAAATAGTCAATTGTCAAGCACACCAAACGAACTATGCATTCTGGTAACATGCGAATGATGGGATCAACTATCCAAATTGTTAACTCGTCAAAACTTTCGATAAATTGATACTTCTTATGACTTCCAATTTTTCTACTGAAATAATAATTTTTAGTACGTTTATAAATATTTTTTATATATCTTAATGTTAAATAAAAAATTATCAATTGTTAAATTTGGATTTAATTATCAATTTTTAGTCCAAATTCTTGTTGAAGTATAAAGGAAATGCGCACCATTTTTTGTTAATGGATCGGAGGTGCCATTGCCAATAATCTCATCTAGAGAAATGCTATGGAGGCAGAAGGAGTTGGCATCTTTGGTTGAATTTCCATGTCATATATCACACCATTTTTGTACGCTCAATACTTTTTCTCCCATCTCATAAACTCGTCTTTTCTCTGTCAAATGTAAACCACAAGTTGTTTCTTTAATGCCTCGTTAAATTTTTCATATATTACTGGGAAATATATCGTGCAACTTGCTTATATTTTTTATTAAATTATTTTATTTTAAAATAATAAAAAAATTACAATTTAAATATAAAAAGTATGCAATAATAAAAATTTATTATATTGAATAATATCAAATATAATTCTATTAAAAATAATAAAATACTTTCTTATATATAATTTTTTGGTATATTTATATATTTTTCATATTTTTTAATAACAAAGATTTTAAGTTTTTTTTTTGACATTATTATAGATAATATAACGTACAAATAACACTGACTAAATACATGTTTGACAAATATAATTCAATGATTATCTTTAACTTTTATTTATTATCATTGCATAAAATATTTTTATTAAAAATTATATACTTTTTAAAGAAAAGAGCACATAGAGTTATTTTTATTTCAATTATTCATTTTACTAGATGCATGATAAGGATTTTTGTTATATTATACATTCTTAATGGAAGATTGATGTTCTTTAATAATACAAGCTATGGTGAAAAAATTATTAAAATTTGAAGTATTTAAAAATTCTACTAGATATATAAACTCTTGTTAAATGATTTTATCAATTGTTTTATCAATCTCATCTAGTAAATGTATAATTTTATAGACTTCAAAGTTTTAAAAAATATAGTAAATATGATTTTAATATAAATACATACATATGCTAATGTTTACAAGTGAAATTATATTAATTTTTTATTTTTATAAAAAATTAGTTTACAAAAATATCATAAATAAAAACTAATTACAATATAATATGCATTCTTAAGTTTTAAATTTAATTATTGATTAACAGATAAAAATATTTTAAAAATAAATAATTGAGTATTTCTTTAAAAAATCAACTAAATTATTATATATTATTTAATAACTTAATAGAATTAGTTCTGTTTAACATTATAAATAAATAAATTTTATCAAATAGATAATTAAATATAACAAAGTTATGTAGTGTGGATCATAAAATTTTCAAATTTAAATAATAAACTTATTAATTTTTCTGATGCATTTCTTTAAATTTTAAAAATAAACTAATATGTTTTACCAATCATTTATCATTTTAACTAAATATAAATCATAAAAAATGTAACTATATAGTAATTAAATGATATAATAATATTTTTCAAAATTAATTACAATAATAATACTTAATTTAAAATATAATATAATAATATAATTTAAAGTATTAGGTTAAAACGAACATGTAAGTTAAAATAAGTAAATGAAATGTATATTATTTTATTATGTCCATAATTTAAAAAATAATAATAAATATAAATTTAAAATAAATGCATTAAAAAATATTCATTCATAAGTGTAAATAAAGTATATTAATTTTTATTATTATTATTATAAAAACAATTAATTTACAAAACTTACATATAAATTGATAATAATATAACGCATACTCTTAATTTTTAAGTTTAGAACTTTATCAATATGTAAACATAAAAAATACATTTTTGAAAAAGCTGATTGAAGGAAAGGAGAAAGTAAAAAAATAAAAAGTATATAATTTTATTATTGTCATTAAATATTTTAAAAAATAATTATAATATAAATATATAAAAAAAGAATACATTAATGGGTAGAAATATAACAAAAAATATTTTTTTAATAAAAATGAGGTTTAGTATAATAATACAAATGTGAAATATACTAAAATAAGATCTATATGAATGAAGTTTAAATTTTATTTATCAAATAAATTGAAGTAAATATTATCATAAATTTATTTAACAGATTATATATAAAATTATTGACTTATAATTTTTAAAAGATATTTAAACTTGACTTATAATATTGTTGTAATAAATAAATTTATACTAATAATTAGTTATTCTAATTTAAAATACTTTTTAACTTCAAAATAAGTATTAATTTTAAAATTTATGATATAATAAATAACTATATCAATAAAAAATATATATTTATTTTTATTTATTTTGTATGTATAATTTGATTTATAACTTGAAAATAATCTGTAGTGCATAACATAACGAAGCATTATTCTTTACATTTATATTTAAATGTTCTTAGAAAAAATTAAAATACATTCAAACTTCAATTTCAATATAATTTTTTAATAATCATATATTTAAAATATAAAATATTAATAAATAAATATTAGTTTAAAATATTAAAATATTATTTTTACAACATTTTAAAAACTAATTCATGTCTTTCTTTAAAACAAATTATATATTAAAAAAGTAACAATAACATCCAACTTAATTCAAATTTAAAATGTTAGTATAAGATTTTAATAATAAATTTTATTCATTTGTTTTCTAAATATATTAGTATTTTATTATTGTGATATTTAGTAGTATTTTAATTATTATAATTAATTACTTTTAATTTAAGAATTTTTAATTTACAATTATTATTATGACATTTAAAAAAAAATAAAACATTACAACAGACTCATTAAATATTAATTATTAGTAATTATTTTTTAATTTAAATTTGTCATCTTAATTATAATTATAACATTAAATATTTTTAAAATGTTATCTATATTAATAGATTATACATAATTATAATATATCAATTATAAATCTATTATTGTTTTTTGTTCAACGTAGTTTAGGATTTAGGGTTTATAATATATTATAAATTTATAATTTTTATATTAATTTTTATTGAATTTAGAATTTTTATAGTTAAAAATTCGCTTAAAAAATTAATTGTTTTTAAGTTACTTTCTTTTATTTTTATACTTATTTTGTTTAAAGTCTTTTCTTTTTCAACTTGCAAATTTGGAATAATAAAAAAAAATTTCCTCTTCATATTATAATTTTTTGAAATGAAAATAGTAAAATTGCAATATTATATTATTTATTATCTTTATTATTGATTTATTTGTTGTAAACTTTTGTCTTTCATAATTTTTAAAGTAAATACTCATTCTTACTTAAAAAATATATGAAGTGCATGCAATATTTCAAAGTTGTGGAAATAATTTGAAAACTTCACCCTCACCTTATAAAAAAATTATACATTTACAATTTTAATGGTTGTACTGTCCTTTAATTACACTTGTGCTAATTATTCAATAACTTTAAAAATAGAATAAATATAATTAATCAGTTGAATAACATTAAACTCAAGATGAAACCTGTAGTGAGTATAAATTAAAGTAACATTTATAATTCAATAAATTTTAGTATTAGAATACATAGCATTATATCTATATTAACAAATTAATTATTTTGTTATTAGGTACTCAACATATTTATAGCAAACTTCGCATTTAAAACTTGTAAATGTGAAAGAAATATTTTTCTTATAATAGAGAAAGAAATATAATATTAATTATTTTTTAGCAATACATCATTTATAATTACAGTACAATAAACAACATTACTCTAAAATTTAATTAAAAATATAAGAATGAGATATAAGAAGAAACAATTTATTAAAAAACTTAAATTACTATCATTATTCAATTTCATATAATTTTTCTAAATCATTGGCTTAGAATGTCTTTGTGATTGGGTCTCACCTAAAGTCAAAGTTGTTGTACATAAGTGTTGATATATTGTTATATTGTTTCTTAAACTATTTTATTTTATTCAAGTAATGATTATACATTTTAAGGAATTTAATTTTAGCATTGAGACGATGAATGATGACTCTCTCCATATTTAGTTTGCTAATTAACCCATTAACATCACGCAATTCACTTTTTATAGTATCTATTATCAACTGTAACAATTCATCCAAATCTTCCTTAGTCCAAGCTTCATAGTTTTCTTTCTTTTTTTTCCTTTCCTTTATTATTTCCTTGTGAATTTCCCATTTGAATTACTAAAATAACATAGGTTGAAAACTAGTTATATAAATAATTATAGATAAGAATACTTATTAAATTTATATCTCACCTAATAAGTACTTATATAATTAAAAACAATACTATAGCCCCGTAAGAGGCTTAACTGCTATATATATATATATATATAGGATATACATTATTATTTTTATATTTTATATATTTAAACATCCATTTATTCAATTAAAAAAAATGCTATATGGTATAGACAAATATCTCAAACTTAACAGTTAAAGGTACTAGTTAACTATTTGAAGATCTACAGTTGATTATAGAGATTATGATATTAATTTTAGCTTTCACCTTTTCCTTCTCTTGACGAGTGTTATAAAAAAATTACTACTTAAAAGTTGAAATTTTAAGTATTTTGTGTTATATCTGAAGAATAAACTATAGCAAAATAGAGCAATGACACTGTTATTTACATTTTTACCAAATAGGATAATGGAATGAGAACTATACTACAATATTATATATGAACAATAGTGCAGTATTATTATCAAAGAAAAAATGAAAAAGACAGGAACATAGAAAAAAAAAGAGATAAAAAACTCATCTGAAAATTCTTGAAGCACTTGAAAAGTTACTTCAAACAATCTTCCAAAATTCTAATGGGTTTCGATGAGATTGTTTTATGAATTTGGTATTTATAGATACCACTAAAATGTCCTTCAAAATTTCTCTAATACAACAATCCTTTAAAATTCTTATATTTTTTTTAATACCAATGAATTGTTTTTAAGTTGTAAAAAGTCTGAAATAAATACTAATGAATTTTAATAGACTCTTTAAAAAATCTTGAAAATCCAGATTGAATACCACTAAATTTTTTGAAATGACATAAAATCTTGATTAAATACCAACAAACTTTTTTACTTAAAATAAGTCTTTTAAAATCCTATACCAATACATCCTTTTTAGTTTTAAAAAAGTAAAGTATTATCAATAATTATCATAACAGAAAAAATTCATACAATTTCTACACCCAAATTTTTGTTGATTTTAAAAATAAAAATATCACCTATTATACATACTTGACAGAAATTTAATCCAATAAAAAATATTTAATATATGATACCACTTAAAAATAATACAGTTTTATATTTACTCAACCTAAAAATATATATATACTTACTTGAATAAATGAGACTTCAGAATTAACATTATTGCAAAACATAAAATGTTTGGTAATATATCTAAAGATGCAAAATTAATGTAATAAATGTTATCTTTTCATCTGTATTATAATTTATTTGTCTATTCATCAAAAAATTAATTTAATAATATGCAATACAAAACTATAATTTTGTAAGTTTGTGTAGTTTTTTATTTTTAATATATTTAAATTTTTAATACACACTTTTAGTAAAGAACTAGTTCATTAAAGAAAGTGCGTGAAAGAACTCCTTTCAATCATTTTAATAGTGTAAATTAAAGTTTTCATTTTTCTTCCTTTTCTTCAACTATTTTACCCGAGGGAGAAGGGAGGGGCAGGGATAGGGATGTGGGGGCTCAATTTGGGATTGAGCTCTACTATTCTTACAAGGCAAATATTCTTTTTGCTTTTTCACCTAAGATTGGGGGACCATGATTATGGTGAATCCTTTGGATTTGGGGATGGCCTGTGCTCTCAAGATGCGGAGTTCGATCCTGCCATCCTTTTAATCATGTTAGTAATAGAAATGGCTTCTATGACAGGACTTAGCCAGATTAGGTGAGTTTGTGTATAAAAATAATATAAAAAATAAAAATAACATTAATAAAAAATAGAAAAATTATATTTAAAAAATTTAAATGTGAATAACTTCTAAAAAGAAAAAAAAATGTCAATTTTATTTACGAAATGAGTTTTATTTATTGTGTATATATATATTTTTAATAAAAACTTATCTACAAGCTAACTCAAAGTAAGTTGTAACACTTCCTCCCTAGTGTCCCTGTTCTGGCTCCTTTATTTGTTTTTGTGACTAATTAGTAGGAGTGCATAACAAATAGTAATAACACATTAAATTGGGCTGGTTTTCTGAACAGCTCTCGCTTCTCATGAAAGGGTGAGCTACAGTCCGTCTTTTTTTTTTTTTGGTATTATAGGAGAGATGCTGCATTGCGTAGTTAAGCTGGTGCCTGTAGTAGACAATGAAGGACATGAAACATTAGTTAAGCAAGAACCTCAAGCAATTGCTAATTCACTAACTGCTGAAAAAGAGTTCAAAGGAATTAATTAGAAGGCGAGAATGCAATGAATCAAAAAATAACACTGCTCTCAAGTTGCTAACGTGGCCGGCTAAAAGGGAAATGAGCAATTGAAGCAGCTAACATAAAAATATAAGGTGTCCCAAGAAGAGACGACATGGAACCTGAAGAGTGTTTAGAAACTAAAATGGCTGATTTTGCGATTCTACCTCCCGCTTCAGCTTTTTCATAATAAAAAACAAATCTAACCTTTTGGAGATTCAGATATGTTTGGATGCACATCAAATTCTCAGAATCACGTCTATTTCACTCTAATGTGATTTTGTAAAAATAATTGATGTTTAAATGCTCTGAATCAAATTTGATTGTCTTCAAACTCAAGTTTGAACCAATGTAGTGAATTATAACTTTTGCAATAAGTTAAAAAAATCATATTAGTTTAACACAAATTTACTTTTAAGAAAAAAAATTTCATACATAAATCACGCTATTTTAAAATATCTTTTAAACCAAATCAGTTCTATGTGATTATCAAAGTTTATTCCAACTCAAGTTTTCAAACGCTATTTTACAGTTGGCAGAAATAGATTATTTAAAAGATGCCTACCAAAATATACCACGCGTATTACCTCAGATTGCTACCAAGAAGAAAAAAAACAATTTGATTATCCTCAACACTCCATTTTGTTTGTGGTGACGGTTCAACACGATCCTATAAATAACATCATTCAACACTCCACTTAGACCTCCCTATACTAAAACAATTTTTATTTTTAAAAGAATCCTATAAATAACATAATTCTTAAAGGTTTTGCAAAAACCAAAAAAAAAAAAAATACACGAAATTCCTCAAAATTAATAAAAAAAGAAAGAAAAAGATCAAATCATACAGATCAACCTGTTGTACATAGATCAACGAGGAATAAAATTTGGATTTGTACCCAGAAATTGATGAGCGGCTAAGAGGCTTTCTTGGGAGGTGACATGTTAAAAAGAAGGGAAACAACTGTTTTGATGGTACAAATTTTTAACAACGATAAGGTGAGTATGTATACCAGCAAACCTGCAAGAGGTAAAACCCGATTAATACTACATATTATCCAGTTTTGACACCAATTTGCATAAAATGAACAAACTAATTAAAATTTGAAAAATTGGAAGCAAAACTAACCAGTGTGAAATCCAGGAAGACCATTAACATCAAACTTCCTTGATCCCCAAAAATTAAAATCCAAGATAGCCTACAGAGGAGTTTCAAGATTACAAGGGCATTTCGAAAGAAAACAGTTAATACTTTTATGCATATAAGTCTTGGTTCTACAAATGGAGAGATACCATAATAAAACCTGTGAATGACCTATAATATTTTCATAACTTATCTTGTACAATCATATGCTAGGCCAATACATTCATTGTATTGATGTACTCCTCTGCCACACAGTTGCAAGTTGGTGCTACAATTTCTGTTAACCCTTTGTGGGATTTGGATTCTCCATAGTGCAAGGTTCACTTTATGGAGTAAAGAGAAGCATGAGGAAGAAAAAGAAATAATACAAAAAGGCAGACAAAGAAAAACTAAAACCATTGATCTTAGAAATGTCCTATACAAGGAAGCTTCATGGCAAGGAGGTACCAACACTTGCTTTTTGTCTCTGGTGGAGAACTATAATAAGATGCTAAGGCAGAAGAAAAGCAAGAGCAGGCGCAAAGAAGGAAGAAAACACATATAGATATATTAAAACAAATCTAAACTGAACATTGAAGCACATAAGACCAATTTGAGTGGGTATATCTTCGTAGACAAATTTAAAAAGTAGTGTAGATACCAGGTATACTATGAAGTCAATAAAAAAAAAATTTCAAAGTACTAATAGAGCACAATTGGAATAAATTCTAGGGCAATGATCAACATGACTGATATTATATGGGAATAAGAATCGTAATGTACTAAAAATAAGTATAAGAAATAGAAAGCCCGCATAAATTCATGATTTCAAAGAATCACCTAGAAATTAGTTTCACATGTTTAGTTCTTACTTGCCATAAACTCTTGAAAGTTTATGGAGTTTTTTCTTATTAATCTCCTGTTATACACCAACATCTTTACCTTCAGCAGGGAATATTGCTTTGAGAGAGAAGCAATAAAGAGAACCATTGCTATCGATGATACAATGGCGTATAATCTCAACAAACTGGACTTGCTTCGTCTTTGACCTTTTCACAAAATTAACAAAGACAGGTTAATTTAATGTTTGAATAAAAAAACTCAACAAAATGACAAAGGAAAGCAAAGAACTTTAGGTTTAGGCAATTAGAAACCTATATTCGCAATGATCAGCAGAATGATACTAACAATAACAGAAGAAAGGGCAATTGTATTTGGAGTATCCGCTTCTATCCCTGGTAAAAATGCAAATATCACTCCTATTAATAGAAACAAAGCCTGCAAGGCACAATTCAAAATTTTAATTCATTATCAGACAAAATTAAAGATGGCAGAATTTAGAGAATAAAAATTCAATTTCTATCTTCACAAACTCTCAGATAAAAACAATCATACTATTACACGGCTATGAACATCAAACAATAAAAAAGACAACAGCATTGAGATAGTTAAGAATATCACACGACAGAAGTACTAATGGGTTGCGCCACTAGTAAGAACGTTCTTTAACTATTGTCATAACAGAAGTCACTGTCAAATTCAGCATGAAAAGCAGCCCAAAATAGTCAACCAGATTGAACTACAAATATTAATTAATAACTATTATCAATCAATGAAAATAACCAATTAACCATCAACTATTGAAGTTTATCCAATAAATTCTATCTGTTCTAGGCAAAAATGTCGAGCGTAATCCAGTTCAGAAAAAAACAATGTTTTTTAGAGTTGAATTGCAAGAACTTTTACATGGCCAGGCCAACTTCATTTTCTTTTTTAACAGAAAGAACATAATCAACAAATAGAGAGAGACCTGCCCTGTGCAGAAATATCAGTTAGAAGGCTTTCTAAATTAAAAAAAGATGTCTATACATACACAATGACTACCCAAGTCTCCAATCTGTATTTACTACTCTGAAACTGATTAATACTGATAAAACATTTCTACATTACATTAACGCTAAAAATTGTTTGAAGTATTCCATTTATTAATCCTCAACAAATGTAGTAGAGAAACACAGAACATCGAATGCCCATTATATAGAAATTCAATAATAAATATAAAAAGGAAAAAGCAAATAATGCAGGGTACCTCGATGATAAATAGCAGAGAGAGGCGTTTCTTCCCCTTTGCAACCAGTTGATACCCTAAATGGTTTAACATCAAAACGACAAGACCAGAACAAAGTTATAAAAATATAAGTAAATAAAGCGTAACTGTTATTAAAAATATATCAAAATGAAAATGGAAAATGGTTGAAGATTGGAGCTGACTTGAATCAACTACCATACGGTAGGAATAATCAGAGCCATCGGTTCCAGAGGGCCTTCCCGACGTCAAATTTCTGTGTTGCATCTTCTTCTCACCCTTTACCTCCTAACAGTCGCAGATCAAACGCTGGGCAAATTGGCAGTGGCAGCGTAACGACGTCGTCTTTGGATGCCAGGGTCCAGTGAATGTGCCTGAAGAATTCCAATGAAGATTTTCTGTGTTCGGTCAAGATCTTCAGTTGGGCTTATCATATTGGGCTTGGGCTCGAGGGAGCTTTTATCTTTGAATTGCTTTTTCCTTACAGTTAAAATATTTTTCATATTTAAATTGACATAACCCTGACGATCAAAAGAACAAATTGATATAATCTTCATTAATTATTTTTTAATGAAAAATATCAGACACTTGGTAATGAAAAAACTAAGTTAATATATTTAAAAATAAAGTGGTGAAAATAAATGAAAATGAAAAAGAAAAAAATAATTTTTAATATCATTAATATGTTAAATTTTATAATTTTTTTATTAAAAATTATTATATAAAATTTTATTGCATCTCACTAAATATATATTAAAATAATTGATAAAAAATATTATGAAATTTATTGTTTGTGAATTATTTTCAAATGAACAATAAATACTATAATGACTATAGTCCATAGTGGCATAGTTAAGTTTGCATTTATAATTTTTTGGTTCCAATATTCAGTAAATATCATATAAATTGTCCTAATATTTTAATTTTGAACAAAATATAAAAGAAAAATTAAGATATAACTGTTTTTTGAGATATTTAAAATTATAAAAAATATATATTAAATTATAATCCAATGAAATATGAAATAATATTCAAAATAAAAAAAAAACCTGATGAAATTTTTAGCAAATTTCTTTCTAACCTTTGGATTGATTAAATAATATAACCACTTTACTTAGAATTTATATGTGAACAAAATAATATTTATTTAAAATTTTACATCGATAGACAATGAAAATGCATTTTTTCTTGTATCTTTATTCTTCGAACATATAATAAGCAAAAACAAGATAAAATAAAATTTACAAGAAGGTGTTATTAGCATGTTTTTTATTGAAGTAAGCCAAAACACCAACAAAAGGAGCATTGATGTATGTGGTTGGCTCCGATTGGCCAACATTATAGCGCGAGTCCTCAAAAGAATCGTCTTCCGCAGGGCCTCCAACCACAGCCCCTGTTAAGATGTTAGGATTAGGCTTTGTTGTTGCGAAATAATGGTCTCCATCACGACACCCAAGGTGTTGTGGGTGCGCACTCAAAGAAGGCAATGTTGAGCCACGATGGTGTATCTTCTGAGGAAACTTCGCCCCATATCCCACCATGTATGACATCCCTAGTGGGTTCTTTCCTAATATGTAATCCACCTACAACAATATAGAATTTACAAAACCAATAATTTCGGAACCACATCGTACTTTGATGTACCATGTATTGCAAGCTTGTAATAGTATTTGTTCTTCAATTATATTCTTCAAAATAACCAAGACATATGAAGTTTGTTAACGACCAATTATCATGTTGCATGCATACCTGACTTTTTGCAAGATTTATGAGCCTGGGTGGGTCTGCAGCTTCATTTCCACAGGTTATTACTTTTTTCGCAGCATGCATGTAGCGTGCATAAACAACTACAAGAAAAGACAATGCTGTTGTGTGTTGTAGGTTACTTGATCCAAGTTTGAATAGAAGCCCACCTAATCACCACCCAGTTCAATTAAGCCTTACATTTCAACATGATCAAAGAAATGAGATGCATATAAATCAAGAACAAAGTTATATATTGTGAAATAATTTTAAATAAACATAATATATGCAACAAATGTTATATTTTTAATAAAAAATTTCTATTTTTAAATACTTAAACCCAGTGTTTAGAAGTTAATAAATTGTTTAATTAAATAAATTTTAGTGTATAGATAAAAGAATCTCTATCATATATATATATGGTAAATATACCTTTAGAGTACCAAACTGATTTGAATGGTGAATTCGGCAACAAAGAGCATATAAATCTATCTGCATTGGGAACGAAAGGACTCGCATCGCGTGGATCAGCCAGCACCCACTGCCAAAATTAGAAGGATTAAATGAGAGTGGGGAAAGATCATAAGCTAACACAGTTGTTTGTCTTGCCAAGAAGGCCTTTGCTATATTTTATTTAATGATTTTTTTTTCTATTTTATAAGGTAAGTATTAAATAAAAAGTGTATATATTTATTATTTTAAAAATAAAAAGTATTTAATTTTTTATTTAGTAATTAACAATATTTATAAGAATAAAAGATAGATCTTTAGTTCTGAAAATGAAAAAGATGTGTTAAAATAAATTACATTAGACTTAAGAATATGATAAAAATACTCTTTATAAAACTAGTAGAATCTTAATTTTATGAGTTAATTTTAAGATTTAATAACATATAATATTTTAATAATATCACACATGTAGGTATGCAAATACATGTATCTAAAAAATGTAAATAAATTAAAAAAAAAAACTTTTGAAGAGATGACAAAAATAGACTAACTTGCGAAACAAGCACATTTATGCCAGCGTTCTTGGAGTCCCATCCAAATTCAGCAAAACTACCGCTCAGGGATTGGATGTTTTCTTTTACAAAATTCCAATAGTTTGATACACCGGTCGCTTTATACAACCATGCTGCTCCCCAAATCAAGTCGTCCTGAATTTAGTGGATCCAATGTAAAAAATATTATATTAATTAATGATAAGATATTTTCGACAACACAAATTATTAAAGAAATTATGATTTATAACCATGAAAATCATACCATGTAGCCATCGAAATCACAGTAGAACGGGCATGCTGCCTCACCTATGCTATCATTGTAAGATCCACGATATTTATTTGCAAAGTTAAACACCTAAATATCATGGAGACATCAAAGTTAGCCAGCAACAAAAGGTTTAATAAGGAAAATACAAAGAAAAAAAAAATCCAAATCCAAACCCAATATGTTTTAAAAAATAAAAAGGATGTTAATTTATGGTGTTTCTGGAAGGATCTTAATCTAAGTGTCCTGTAAATAAATTTTGAATATACCACTCATTTATCTATCTTAAAACAATTTTTCTATAATGTAGAACATTGCCAAAAGATAAAAATTTATATATAATAAATTTTTAATAAAAATTTAATATAATAAAATACATTGATTCTACTGAAAGTTATAAATTTTAATAAAAAATTTACTATATATATTTTCTTATGATGTGTAATGTTAGATATATTAAAAAAAAATCCTATAAATAGTTTAGTCATAAAATGATATACAATAGGTTCACCATTATTGAGCAACAAAAGTAGTTATTAAAAGACATTAAGTTGGATGCAAAATTAAAATACATATATACCTGCACAGCCCTATTGAGAAGCAACTTGGAGTAGGTGGAATCAGTTGTCCTAAATGCGATGGAAGATGCTGCAAGTGCTGCTGCAACCTCAGATGAGACTTCTGAACCTGGCTTTGTTGGAGAGATGACATATGAGGTTCGAGGAGTGTCCATGTCTTCTGGCCTCTCCCAACAGCCATGATCACCAATAGGATTGCCAACTTGTGCTACAATTCTATTAGGCTTTTCTGTGGCTTTAAGGAAATAATCAGTTCCCCACCGGATTGCTTCCAATGCATGTTGCAGCTCTAAATCCATGAGATCTCCAAATTCTACCACACTCCAAGCTAGCATGGTCGTTGTGAATGCCATAGGGAAATGGAATTTGACATTGTCGCCAGCGTCATAGTATCCACCTACCATGTTTATCTGAGTTTGGAATAACAAATTTTTCCAGTTAGAAAGTGTACTTTTGAGTGATATAGTCTGTAATTGAAATGAAGGGAATACGCACACAATGGGTGTATTGGTTATGGATAAGGTATTAGATTTTTACCTCATATGAGATAAACAACACTGATAATACTTTTAGCATGATTTATGATAAAAACATTTTACTTTTTATTTTTAATTAACGCATATATACCTCTTGTGACATTTATAAACAAAACCCAAATATTAATTGCATAAAAAAAAACACACGCATTGAGAGAATTTAATTACCTGAATATCGGAGCCATCACGAAGTGCAGAGTCTTTCCGCCATGTCATGCGTTGAGAAGGTGGCAACTTGCCAGACCTCTGGCCTTCAAAAAACAAAATGCTCTTTGTTAAGGCTTCTGCATAGTTAAGCGAAACTCCCCTAACCGTTGAAGCGATCACCATCATTGTCGTTATTATGAACAATGATAGTTTTGACTTAGCTACGTTGTTTTCTCTCATGTTTGCAGTAGTAACGTGGCTTTTCAAATTATACGTATGCTATTGGGTGGTAGAGTGTAATATACCCCTATAAATAAGCAAATACGTCTTGTTTTGCTATCTGAAATTTGATCATTAATTAGAATATATAGAAATCATCTACACTTTTTTGCACGATTACATTAATTAGTTTGCCTTTGTTATTAGCTCTTATATGTTGTGGATCAAGTACAGTTATTGTTTTTTAAGAGGATTTTTTCTTTTAGAATTTAAGTTACTATTTTCATTTTTAATTATTTAAAAAGATAATATAAATTAATAAATATAACCAATATTCTCTCTTTTATATTTAATTTTTCTCCATTTTCTCGATATAACTTTCATGTATATAAAGTATTTAAGAATTAAAAAAATTGAAATTGTAATAATTAATAATATCTTGAAATTCAAAATAAACAGACAAATAAAATAAAATTCTTTGAAAAATAAAAAGAGCAAAAATAATATTTAAAAGATGAAATACTTTATAAATTTTTTTAAAAATTACTTATTTTTTTTTATAAAATAATATTGGATCGGACTTCAATGTGTTTACTTTTTATTTAATACTTTCTATAGACAATTATAAGAAAAAGGAGAATCAATGATGCAATATGACTAAAATTAAGAAGTTTTACTTGTTGTAAAAATAATACTTGTCATATTAAATATCATAATTATCATTAAGATAATCTTGTGTCGATATTTTAAATCATTACTATAACTCAAGTAATTGTTATATTAATGCCAATTTTGAGACAGCACTAAAATAATTAATATTTAATAATGTCAAAATAATAATTACTAAGACAATAATAATGATATGTTCATCACTGATTAATAAATTTTCAACTTTTTGAAAAAAAAACTATTAATTCTTAAGTATACATGAACATATTTATTTATTTTATCTTATTTAAATTATGACACATTTTAATTAATTAAGATATTATATGGAACTATTTGTTTATTAATTAATATTGTCAGGTCACTAATTTAATCATATGCTTATTAATATTTATTTTTTGGCTTTTTATCTGTCACTTTAGAAGTTAAAAACAATAATTAATACTTTTTTTTATTATACTCTTACTTTTAACAAACTTGTAATTATTATTTTTTGGCTAATTAAAGGAGCTAGAAGCCCAGAAAAAAGATACTTAGAGGACTCTCTTAGGAGTCCAAAAACTAAAGTAATTAATATCTAGATAGGGATATAAGAAGAGAGAGATATCCTCCAAAATGAAAAAAAGAACCAATTCTTTTAAGCCTTTTTTGACTAACCTATCAGCACATTGGTTAAAAACAATAATTAATTTTTTTTTATTATACTCTTACTTTTAACAAACTTTTAATTATTTTAAACATATATCCATAATATGAATAATTAATTATTATAAAATCTAAAAATAATGAGATCAAATCACAAATCTCTTTGTAAATTACCTGCACAAATTGATATTAGGCAAAAAGTACAAAAATAAGATTAATAAATATTAATTAATAAATTAATTAGAGCAAAAAAGGATACAATCAAAGATTTGATAGTAATTTTAATATAAGCTAGAATATTAACTTTTTTAAACTATGTCAAATAAAGTGATCCATAAAAAGAAAAGAAGTTTAAAAATTAAGTTATTAGTCATTTATTTGTTACATAAGGTTATTATCCACAGTTTTAAAATATAATTAATGTTCTAGTTTGTATAAAAATTATTATCTAATTCATAATTTTATTCTTTTTTAAAATTAATTAATTTTTTGTTGCCTTATGTTCACATGTTACCAAATTTTTTTAATTAATTTTAGTTTTATTTATTAATTTTACTCATTTTTAATTTTATCTCTAATTAATTAACTCAGTTTTATTTATTAATTTTACTTTAGGTAAGTTACGAAAAGATTTGTGACTTGGTCTCATTAATTTTTGGATTTTACAGTAATTAATTATTTATATTATGGTAAATGTGTAAAATAACTAATAATTTTGTAAATGGTAAAGGTATAATATAAAAATAACAACAATATTTTCTTAAACTTCTAAAGTGATAGATAAAATTTAAAAAAAATTAAAAAATAGAAAAAAATAGGAGTCATTTTTTAAAAATCAGTTTTCGACCTATATTCTTGCTATTTTCTAACAGTAGTACTGTAAATCTTGAAAGGTATGTAATCAATAGCATTTTTTTTCATAATCCTTTCATTCTTTTTTATTTGTCACCATTTAAAAAAATCTTTAAAAATATAGAGATATTATTGAATAATTTAATTTAAATATATTGATAGTGTAAAAATCTTTTATACTGTCAATTATAAATTATGATATTAATAAAAAAAAATTCAGTTTTATAATAATTAATATAAAAATTATGGATGGCATATTAATAAAATTTTTAATATAATTTTTAAATTACTATCTTAATAATATTATTATTGATTAACATTTATAGGTATGCAATTAATTTTTAACTAATATTTATTCATTAAAAAAATTAATTAATAAATTATTAAGTATTCTTTAAAACTGTATGATATTTTGTTCAGTTAGTCTATTTAATATAAATGACCAATTCAACAATTGAATTAATAAATTTAAAACATATAAAAAGCTATTGAGTAAAATAAATTTATAAAATTAATACTTAAAAAAAGTGAATCTTTCCCCAACCATTTTGGTCTAACAATTTATATATTTATCCTCATATTGTAATAATTATCGTTAAATTTTAATTTTTTATAAATTATCTCCTCTAACACAAACATCCTAGATCGACTACTGAATTATTATGTACAAGAAAAAAAATACAATAATTATTCCAATCAGCATGTCCTATGTATCAATATTCTAGCTGGTTTCTGTATTTTGGCAATAAAACTAGCTTTATGCTATAGCGAACAGACAAGGCTTTTACTTCAGGATGGATGAGATTTGAAGTAAGCTAAAAGACCCACAAGAGGTGCATTGATGTATGTTGTAGGTTCAGAGTGTACAAAATCTGCTCGAGAATCTGCGAATGAATCCTTGATATCAGGTCCCCCCACAACAGCTCCTAAAAGCAAGTTGGGATTTGGATTTTGGGTTTCAAAATAAGGGGATCCTTCTTTGCAATCGATGTGCTTAGGGTGCTGAACCATGGAAGGCAATGACGACGCACGATGATGAATTCTCTGAGGAAATTTTGGTCCGTATCCTACCATGTATGACATATTCAACGGGTTTCTTCCTAGTATGTAATCTACCTGCATGCACCTACATTAGTTCAACTGGTTGCTTCCTAGTATTTTATCAACTTATTTAGATAAAATAGCTAACAACTTTGTAAAAGGCATTATGCTCCATAGTGCGAAGAAAGAAAGAACAACCAATTTTGTAGAAACAGAGAATTTCTGTTTATTGATCTGAGAAGAAATATAATTACTAGAAAAACCTATTTATACAAGTATATTATTAACTAGAATTAGCTAACGAGAGTTAATTTGTTGTTGGGTTGGCTATCCAGCGTGTGTTAACATGAATAAATTTAATTAGCTTCATACCTTGATTCAAAATCTTACACGTCGTTAATTCTATCGTTCTTAATTTCACCTGTCCTTACTCTATTCATTCCATTACTGTATCTAAAATTTGATAATCTAAAATTTCGATACCTGGCCTCTTGCTACTTGTCTGAGTCGCCTTGGAGAAGCAAAAACTTCACCGCCACAGTCAATTTCTTTATTTGCCTTTTTCAAATAGCCAGCATAAACCAGAAACAGAAATGAGAATGTTGTTGCGTGCTGCAAGTTACTCCCCCCAGGCTTGAATAGAAGCCCACCTAATTTCTCAATGTACTTTACATCAAATCATCTTGCCATTCAATAATCATACGATCGAACGTACTTAATGTTAATTATATACTTTCGGATTATGAGTCATTATTTTACCTGGAGAATAGGAGACTGATACTGAAGGTGATTCAGGTAGAACAGCACAAACAAACTTGTCCGCATTGAGTATGAAAGGCTTAGAATTAGATCTACTATTAATCAGAAGCTGCTATTATAATTAGGAAAGATAAATCATCAGCCAGAACATAAACGTTACACTGGCGTAAAATATTAACAAAAAGAAATAAATAATAATGTTAAAAGAAGAAAATTACGCTTAAATATACCTTAGAAACGAGCACGTTGATGCCAGCATCTTTTGAGTCCCACCCAAATTCACCAAAGTTTTCAAGATTATGAATGTTTTGGTTAATGTAATCCAAGTAATAAGGGAGCTTAGTAGCCTTGAACAACCATGCTGCTCCCCAGACCAATTCATCCTATTATTAACAAGTTACTTTCAGTAATTATTTTTCTAATATCATTGGGTCAGAAACATAAAATTTGACAATACAATGTTTATAAAACAAAAAACAACTCTAAGCACCATTTTTAGTCCTACCTGGTAGCCACCAAAATCACAATAGAATGGGCATACCCACCGTCCGAGACTGTCATTATATGATCCTCTGTATCTATCTGCAAAATCAAAAACCTAATTCCATAGTGAAAAAAGAAGTCTATAAAAGCTGGTATATGGTGCCAAATTAAATGTGACAACAATTAAGAAAAGACATACGGTTATATACCAACCATTATAGCCCTTTGGAGTAGTCTTGAAGAATAACCAACATGATATTTTCTATATACAATTGAAGAGGCTGCAAGTGCTGCTGCTATCTCTGCCGAAACTTCAGAGCCAGGGTACTCCTTGCTTACAGCATAGGCTATTCTGGGGGTGTCCATGTCTTCTGGTCTCTCCCAACAATTATGATCAGCATATGGGTCACCAACTTGTGCAAACACAAACCCAGGAATGGCTGTGGCTTTAAGGAAATAATCTGTGGCCCAACGGATAGCGTCTAGTGCATGATTAAGGTCTGGGCCCATGAATTTTCCGAACTCTATTACGCTCCAGGCCAGCATGGTTGTTGAGAATGCCATTGGAAAGTTGAATTTCACGTTGTCACCAGCATCGTAGTAACCACCAACCAAGTCAACCTGTGTTTGTAGATGGGTCATTGGGAAATCGTGTTCTTCAATAAATTATAAGGAAATTATCGAAAACAGAATTTCGAAAGCAAATTAAGAGCATTTTCATATTCCATATTTGTTTGTTAAAAATTTTTCCTAAAACTAGCCCCTTGTCTTATGAGACATCAAAGAGCCATTACTTCGAAATGCCCCAAGTCACTCAATTAAGTCAATTGTAGTTTTATAGTTTATTTTTTATTATCCGATACATAAAAATATATAGTATTACTAGTAACACATATGATGTCACGTGCCATTGAAAAATGAATTATTATAATGACGTGCCTTTTCCTTGGTACGTAAAAGACAACATTGAAAATCTGAACAGAGAAAACTTTATACAAGTTGTTGAGTACATGTAAAGACCCTTCGATTTGTTTTAAAAGGTTGGATTTGCTTAATATTTTTGCTCCCAACTTTTGCTTTTCTCTTAAACATCTTACATTACTAGTTACTACTCCTAAAGTATAGTTATACATATTTTCTGAATTCAAAATGAACGAAACCATTCCAATACGATATCAAGACAATGCTCAATTTGGCTAAATCTAGTTAAAACGTAAACGAAAATATGCACGAAAAATTAGATAAAGAGCAGGAAAATTGAAGACAAGTTATTAACTACTTTATGATAGAAATGAGAGACAGAAGTATTAGGAACTAGAAAGCCATCTTGAAGCGCTGAATCCTTCCTCCAAGTCATTCTCTGTGTTGGTGGCAACTTCCCTGACCTCTGTCCTTCAAAGAACAAGATGCTCTTTGACAATGCATCTCCATAGTTATGCTGCCATGTACCCGTGCCTCTATCCGTTACAATCAATATGGTACCGACCAATATCATCAGTAACCTTTGCGTGAAACCCATATCCTCTTTCTCCACCAAATCAAGCCTAAACTTCTCTTTATCCACAAAGTACTTTGCTTGGAAGAGGAGGAGAGGGTTATATTATATATTTATGAAAAGGATAAGGAAATGAAGCGTAAGTATCATGTTTCTCTTAAAAAGCAAGCACTTGCGTAAGAGAAAGGGACAAGGAGGATAGAAAAAGAGAGAGAATGTTCATACAGAAATGGAGGAGGGAAGCACTTGCGGATCATGTGTATGAAGTGGGTGAATGTTAGTTCGAAAGCATATGAATGGTTGTCATTGTACTCAATTCTAATGGTGACTCTCATTACTTAAATAGTGTTTTACTTTGCCTGCACTTCATTTTTTACCAATCCCAAACGCCCCAATTCCATGTTTTTCTTTTGGCCCTTCCCCCATTGCATGGTTGAGCTCAATGCAAGTACCTTCTTTCCAAGAGAAACATGGAAACGTTATTTAAAAGAGACGGCTTTCTTTTTAAAAAATTCAAAAGCTATTAACCAAGCCTCATCGTTTAGTTTTAGTTTTTTGTGGGTGCTAATTAATCCTGCTTAGATTAATTCTACAACTTTATATATAACAGTAGTAATGATATAAGGAAGACATAAAACGTGTACATCAATATATGGAAGTGCAGACTCAACTCAATATCAATTTTAGGTAAACATCACCTTCGTCGTGTAACGGTCTACTTTAAAACGTAAAGTCGAGAAGTCAATTTTCTGTAAATATTGTCATGAGGATATATATCCTAATTATTATGATTTAGTCATTATCATAAATTTTGTAATTATTTTATCATTATCTATATGATTATTAAAATATAATCTAAGATATTATCTTATGTAAATATTAAGATTAGACTTCTGTATATACATGCATATTATACAGTACAATTCAGAATTTCAAGTTGGTATCAAAGACTTTGATTTTAAAGTCTCTATACAAACCTTAATTACCTTTATCACAACACCTAAACCCTAGTAATCAGTCTTTATTACGGCATACATCTTCATCTTTATTGTACTTAGACGACTTTTACCTTTATTACCGACAGACCCAAATCAACTTTAGAAACTACACCATCCACAACATGTTAGGACTAGAGTACCAGTATAATAACACACAACTAAAATAAGAGATGAAAAATAAGAGCCAATAATTTCTAAAATTATCACAGAAGAAAAATTACACTACTCCTCACTCTAAAATTTACTCCTCAAAATAGGAGACTATTACTACCGAGTACAAGATCTCAGTGTAATACAAAGATAAGAGGAAATAAGATTTTGGAATGATTAGATTAGTAAGACCCCTTGCCTTTTTATAAGCAAAGGAGGGGTCATAACCCCTTTACTCCCACCGATGTGGGACTTACAATTCTCCCACTTGAAGATTATGATTAAGTTAATTATATCTTCACACATTCCTAATATATTACAATTATATATTGCTTATATTCCTAATAGGCCATACAAGGATCGACACCATGTAAACTTGTCATTGTTCACTGGCTTTGTCATTATGTCTGCTATGTTGTCTTTGGTGTGAATCTTTTGCATATCCACTCTACCTTCCTCTACTACTTCACGAACAAAGTGGTATTGTATACCTATGTGTTTTGTTCTGGAATGAAAAGCTGGATTCTTTACAATATGCAAAGCACTTTGACTGTCACAATACACAGTAGTAGTCTGCTATTTGTGCCTAAGTTTCTCCAATAGCCTTTGAATCCAGATTGCTTCCTTGCATGCCTCAGTAGCTGCCATGTATTCAGCTTCTGTAGTAGACAAAGCCACAACAGTCTGCAACTTAGATAACCAGCTTACTGTCCCTCCAGCAAGTGTAAACACATAACCAGTAGTAGATATCCTTTTATCCAGATCTCCTGCAAAATCTGAATCAACATAGCCTTTCACAATAAATTCTGATCCTTCAAAACATAATGCAACATTAGAGGTTCCTTTTATGTATCTAAGAATCCTCTTTACAACATTCCAATGCTCTCTACCAAGATCTGCCATGTACCTACTGACTGCTCCCACTGCTTGTGCAATGTCTGGTCTAGTACAAATCATGGCATACATAAGGTTTCCCACCGCTGATGCATACGGTACTCGAGACATTTCCATCCTCTCTGCTTCATTGCTAGGACACATACTTGAGGATAATTTATAACTGACAGGAAGTGGGGTAGAGATTGGCTTACAGTCTTGCATATTGAAGCGCCGCAAGACTTTACGAAGATAATTCTTTTGAGAGAGCCAAATCTTCCTATCTTTTCTGTCTCGGTGTATTTGCATCCCTAAAATCTTGTTTGCTGGCCCCAAGTCCTTCATATCAAACTCCCTAACTAATTGTGCCTTCAATTCTTGGATTCGATCTTTGCTGGGGCCTACCACTAGCATGTCATCCACATACAATAACAAAATGATGAAATCATTATCACCAAACCTCTTGTAATACGTACAATGGTCTGAACTCAGTCTGTTGTATCTGAGGCTAATAATGAAGGAATCAAATCTCTTGTACCAACACCTTGGCGCCTGTTTTAAACCGTACAGAGATTTGGTCAACCTGCAAACTAAGTCTTCCTTTCCTTGTTCTTCAAAACCTTCTGGTTGGAGCATATATATCTCCTCTTCAAGATCTCAATGTAGAAAAGCAGTCTTTACATCAAGTTGCTCAAGATGTAAATCAAATGCAGCACACATTGCTAGAACAATTCTGATTGTGGTAAGTCTAACCACTGGAGAAAATATTTCATTGAAATCAATGCCTTCTTTCTGAGCAAATCCTTTAATCACTAGTCTTGCACGATATCGCTCCACTTGATCATTGCCATCACGTTTGATCTTGTAAACCCATTTGTTTCCAATGTTCTTTTCGACCTTCTGGAAGTGTTACAAGTTTCCATGTCTTGTTTCTATGTAAGGCTTCCATTTCTTCCTGCATTGCTGCCATCCACAGAGAAGCATCTGAACTGCTCACAGCCTCTTGAAAGGTTGATGGTTCTCCTTCATCTGTTAGAAGACAATATGCATCGTGGCTTGTCATCACATAGTCTGAGTGTCAGGATGGTCTTCTTATCTCACGTCATGTTTGTTGAGTTTCTCCATCATTGGCATCATTTGGTTCTTGTTCTCCGTGCTCTTCTTCTGCTTCAGAGTTGTCATCTTCTTTAGCCTTCCTTTCTATCACTACTGAAGTAGTGTCTTTGGTAGTACTGTCATCTTTCTGCTCCTTTTGCAGTTCATTTTCTGCAAAGACTACATCTCTGCTAACAACAACCTTGCAGGCAGTGGGATCCCACAAGCGATACCCCTTAACATTGTCAGCATAACCCAAGAATATACATTTCCTGAATTTTGGATCCAGTTTTGTTCTTTCTTGGGAATTGTACATCACGTACACAGGACATCCAAACACATGTAATGAAGAATAATTAGGTGGCTTTCCATTCCATATCTCCATTGGTGTCTTCAAACCAATTGTTGTTGATGGTGATCGGTTTATTACATAACAGGCAGTTTTCACTGCTTCTGCCCAGAAAGATTTAGCCACTCCTGCTGTTTTTAGCATAGCTCTTGTTCTTTCTAGAAAAGTTCTGTTCATCCGCTCTGCTACACCATTCTGCTGAGGTGTATAAGGCACTGTGAATTGCCTTGAAATACTCTCTTGCTTGCAAAATGCCAGAAAATCACCATCTACATATTCTCCTCCATTGTCTGTCCTTAAGCACTTAATTCTTTTCCCAGTTTCAAGTTCTACTAGTGCTTTGAATTCTTTGAACACTGGAAACACATCTGACTTCTTCTTGATTGGGTACACTCATAATCTCCTTGAATGATCATCAATAAATGATACAAAATATTTTGCTCCTCCAATAGATACTTTCGATGATTTCCATACATCAGAATGAATCAAGTTCAGTATGTGTCTACTTCTTGTAGTCACGTTGCCAAACTTCAATCTATGCTGCTTACTTGTCACACAGTGCTCACAAAATGGTAAGGTTACCATTTTGAGCCCGGGCAAGAGATTACGTTCTGCTAGAATTTTCAGGCCTCGTTCTGACATATGACCAAGTCTACGATGCCACATCATTGTTTCTTCTTCTTGACTAATTGCAACTGATGCATCTGCTTCTTTCAACGTATCTCCCAAAAGCATGTATAAATTAGTTGTGATCTTTTCTGCTTTCATCACCACCAAGTTGCCTTTAACCACTTTCAAAATTCCACCTTCAATGTGGATCTTGCAATTGAGGTCATCCAATTGCCCAACGGACAATAAATTCTTTTTCAAGCCCTTCACATGTCGTACCCCTTGAATTGTTCGAACAGTACCATTATGCATTTTCAATTTGACAGTACCAATTCCAGCAATTTCTAGTGCATGATCATTTCCCATGAACACGGATCCTCCCGAGATAGGTTCATAATTGTAAAATTAGTCTCGACATGGAGTCATGTGCCAGGTTGCACCTGAATCCACTATCCAACATTCATGAAGTTGTCTTCCACCTCTAGATTTTACTGCTTCACTATATAAGATTTCACCATCATCTGAGGTACTTGCAACACAACCTTGAGAGGTTGATGCTTCAATATTCTTCCCTCCTCCACTCTTCTTGTTCCAACAATCTTTCTTTACGTGCCCTCTCTTGCCACAGTTGTAGCATTTGAGGTTCTTCCTTCTCTGAGATTTTGATCTACCATGATTCTGGCTCCCACTAGAACCACGTTCCATTGATCTTCCTCTCATCATCGTCAATGCTTCTGCCTGTTTAGAATTTTCCAGTCTATCTTCCTTATTCTTTCTCCTGGATTCTTCTTCAAGAACTACTCCAACAACATTATCAAAGGATAGACGACCGATAATGTTGTTGTTTGTTATATTGATGATGAGTTGATCATATGAATCTGGTAAACTCTGGAGTAGAAGCTCCGCACGTTCATTTTCTACTATGTTGAAATCTGTGGCTGTAAGCTGAG